TCACACCTGCCTTTATTTAGCTTCATTTTCAGGAAATATCAATTTTTTTCTTACTTTTTGGTCAGTCTTTCTGGAGGCACCACTGTGCCACTGTGACAGCATTTTAAATTAGTTTCACCACACTCATCAGCTTTGTGATTATCTCTGCTTCTTGAACACCTGGTCTGACTTTAGAAATTATTTGCCATCTGGTCAAATACTGAGTAATTATAACAATTTAATGGCAGGATAAAACACTGTTAAGAGACTTGATAGTCTTGTCAAAGAGTTAGATAGCATTAAATTAAGCTCTGCCATCAATTTAATAAATGTGTTCCCTTTACTGACTTTAACAGTGTTACTTTTAAGGGCATTGTTGGGGGTTTCCTTGGTATTAGTCTCTGCAGACATTATGTTGGTCAGAGCCCCGAGGGTTACACATATTCAGCAATTTCCGTCACATATTAAAACAGAAGCAATCTGTAGCTTCTGTTTGACAAACATACACCTAAGACTGCACAGCACATTCAACCCATCACTTCTTATTAGGATCATTGACTTGCCTGGAATCTTGAAGCCCTTTCAGCATGGAACATTCAGGAGTGTGGGCCTTGTTCATACACAGCACTTTTCTGTGATGAGTGTCTTCTGGGGATGTACTTTAAGGGAGGATGCATTTTAACATTATCATGCACTTTGAGATTGGATGCCATTTGGATGATTCCATAGGAGAGGTGTCCGAATTCTTACGAGCATATACTCTGGAGCCACACTTCCTGGTGTGGACCCTGTTCTGCCACTTCCTCGCTCTGTGTTCTTGGCCAAGATATTGTTTTTATCTGTTCTGTCATCCATAAGGCAGGGATGATGATAGGAATTACTTGATAGGGTTATGATAAAGACTGCACACAATAGTATTATTAAGTATTTAGTGCCTGGCATATAAGAAGTGCTATGCAAGTATTATTAAATAAATGTGGCTATAGGAAACCATACATACATAAAAATAAAAGCAAATAGCCATTCTTATTAAGAACTGGATGAGATTGAGTAGGACTTGTATAGATAAAAAGGCTCTAGGTCTAGGGTCACCTGGCAGGCTCAGTCGGTAGAATATGAAACTCTTGATCTCAGGGTTGTGAGTTTAAGCCCCATGTTGAGTGTGGAGTGTACTCAAAAATTAAAAAAAAAAAAAAGGCTCTAGGTCTAAAACAAAAGAAAGATATGCATCCCATGTGTCCCCAAGCCCTCTGGTCTTCTGAGGTCAGCTTTTTCTTTAATATTTTAATGGATTTCCATAGCATTTTCATCCTATATATAACATCTGGACATTCACAGTGGTTAAGTTGTGCTGAATTATTGCTTGCTGTTGCCTGCCTCTGTAACCTCACTAGGCTCTTATTCCAGTTTTGGCTTTCAACTGTCATGTTTCTTTCTGGATTTACTCATTTGGCAGACATCCATGGAGCATGGGACTAGGCACTGTTGGTACAGAGGCGAGCAATATAGAAAAGAACATAGACACAAAGAAACTTCAGGTAGGGCGCCTGGGTGGCTCAGTTGGTTAAGCGACTGCCTTCGGCTCAGGTCATGATCCCGGAGTCCTGGGATCGAGTCCCACATCGGGCTCCCGGCTCGGCGGGGAGCCTGCTTCTCCCTCTGACCCTATCCCCTCTCATGCTGTTTCTCTCTCTCTCTCTCTCAATTAAATAAATAAAAAAAAATCTTAAAAAAAAAAAAAAAGAAACTTCAGGTAATGACGAGTGGTATAATGGCATAAGACAGGGTGACATGGAGTGAGCTGGGATGGGCTCTTCCAATAGGGTGCTGTTGAGAAGGTGACATGAGAGGAAACTGGGATGTTGAGAGGTCCAGGAAACAGCAGACTCCTGAGCAGAGGACCCTGTCCTGGGTTTGAGAAGCTGAGAGGAGGCCAGGAGCTGGAGGACCTGGTGAGGGGTGTTGGGTAGAGAGGAAGTCGGAGAAGTGCTGAATTTTTCTGCACTGCTCCCTGGGAGGCTGGACGTTCACCCCCCTGCTTCTTTCTCCTTCAGCATCTCTATCCCAGGGCTATGGTGGTAGTGGGTTCTTGCCAAAGGTTTGGAAAATGCCAAATGGAGTCTGATACGGCCAGAGAAAGAACTTACAATGGAAACCTGATGCTACTGTTTTGGAAAGTTCTTCACTCATCCTCACCCATCATTCCTCCCTGGCTCTCCTTTCTCCACTGTGCCTGGTAACCCCCATGGTACTGACTCACCTCCTTCCCTTCTCTTATCTCTCCATCAGACAGTGTCTTATAAGCACTCATGTTCTGGGCCTACTTTGTATATCTAAAAATACATGTTGTCTACTTGCAACAATATGAAAAACTAGCAGAAGCTTTGAAATTATAATTCTTTTTTTATTCTTAAACATATCCAGGACCAAATTCTTCTAACCCACTCTGATAGGCAGAATAGAAGAATTTATTTCCCCACTTTCACGATAGACATCCAGGGACATGCTTTTTTGTGTGCTTGTTTTCTTCTTGGATTTCTAGCTTCAGCTAGATGTATAAGGACTACTCCAGACATGATTTTATGTGTAGTTCAATTAAATAAACCATTTATCTTTAAAAGTTTCCCCCAGTAAGGCTTTGTAACAATTAGGCTCCTCTGTAGAAGTTAAAGCTTCCCACCATAAATTATCTTCTTTTCCATTCCTCCCTTCTCAGAAACAATATCTCCCTTCTCTCTTCTTCCCATGCTCACATTCTGCCTCTAGAAGCAAGCGGCTTGGTACCCTCACTGACAGAGAATCACATGAAAGATATACTAGCCTCCTACTTGTGGCACAGAAAATGAGGAGTCAGGACTGTGTGTGGGTTCCTCACAGGTTTCAGGACTCCTCCTTCTTGACTTGAGCTACATAGACAGCATTTGCTGGGTTCAGAGGCTGCATGTGAAGGCAACATTTCTAGGAGGTAGGTGATATAGCTGAGATGATAGGGCCCAAGCCCTCTATTTTGCATTCCAGTTTGCACGAGAAGCTTGAGGCCCAGGTGAGCTGCACAAAGTGTGTTGTTCTGCTGCGACCAGGTGCAGCCCACAGACTGCCACTTCTGGAGGATTGACCTCCTCCTACCTGCAGCTGATCTCAGCTGTGCAAACACCTCCAAATGGAGTTTCCGCAGGACAATTGTCCCTTAGTCAGGTGCTTTGCAAGAACAACTGTGAGCCCACAGAAATGTATCCCTGAGCTAAAGCTTCGGTGTGTCCTCCTGGGAGCTGGCAAACACCCCTTTCACTCTGCACGTCTCCATGTCAAATATTGACATTTCATATTGGAGTCTAGATGCCAGGAACTCTTGTGAACACATAATTATATATGTATTATGTGTAAACCAAAGGTCCATTATTTCAGGAAGCTGCAAGCCTGAAAATGTATTTTAAGTAACACTTACTAACAAGCCCTATCATTGTATGTGCCTTTTTCAGAAGGTTAACGGCTGTCAGGATGAATTATACCCATCCCAGAGCTGGCCTGACTTATCAAATACATCGGTGAGGGCACTTGGTCATCTATATCTGGAAACTGATACAATTTACTTAACATTAAGAGGGGAACTTCCTCCTAATGACTAACATAGCCAACTCATGACCTGCTTTCGTCATAGGGACTTCTCTAAATATTAAACATGGGGCTGTGCATCAGAATGTAACTCAGCCCACTGTTTTGACTGAGATGAATGACATAACTGTACATGACACTGGCTAAAGCAAGTGACCTATAATTAACAAACTAGAAGTGTGTATTCACCAGTCAACACACAGCTATGTTGGCATAGGGCATCTGACTTGAGTTGTAAGCATTGGTCAGTTACCCAGCCGGTAGCAAGTCCAATAGGGTCTGAGTGCATTAAGCAGTGCCAAGGGCCATGTGAGGCCATGGCTCAGCTGCCAGACACATTGACCATGCCACTGAGACATGGCCCGATTGGGAAGCCTCTGCAGATTTCCTGCCGGGAGGCAGTGGGTGTGATGGGACCAGATTCCCTGTCTCTGTGTAATGGAATCCTTTGCCTTATCTCAAACACTTGGAGGCTGTTGATACCAAGTGAATAGAGCACATGACTGTCAGATTGCTGTATTTAAAGAAAACACATGCTGTATTTACTGAACTTCCCCATTAGCGAATGCTTTTCAAGAGCTTTATGTTAATTATCAGTGTGCCAGCATTTCATTTTTCTGACATACTTGCATTTTGATGAGGCAAACTCAGGATGGGCATGGGCTGACAGGCCAAAAGTGAATTCTTAATGCAGAAGACTCAAATAAACAGTTAATAAAGTTCTGTTGTTAGAAGAAGAATCATGACTTGATAATATAAACACAGGTTCAGGATTGTTTAAAAAAAAAATTTACCTGGCAGGCTTGGCCGCTAATAAAACCCCTCTGTGGCTGTGAACGATTTCCTTATAAGCCATGAACACATTAGTGTTTTCCCCAAGAGTTCCAAGGAGCTACATCTTATATTCAGCCTCCTTATCAAACTTCCCAGAGTAAAGTTTCTTGACAGGTTTCAGCATATTCCCTATCAACACACTAATATATTCCAGTAACTTCCCAGAGCAAACCCCAAATCAAAGCTTCTCCCCGTAAGAGGCACTGAGCATTTAAATGACCATCTGACCATCCTTAGGCCACAGAGGGAGGATGCAGACAGGGGTCCTGGCAGGGAGGCTGCCTGCAGCTTTTGGATGCCTCGTCTGTCACAGCAGCTGGGGTGGACACCCCCAATTTCATGTCTTCCGTGACAGCCACACTGCAACCTTGGCGTACACATCTCACTGGGAATATGGAATCACTGGACAAAGGTTACATAAAAGTACCATGCTAGGGATGGAATCTGACCCCACGTCAAATTCCTAAGTTGGTACCCTAACCCTCAATGTGATGGTGTCAGTAGGGATGGGATTAGTGCCCTTAGAGGAAGAGATATCAGAATGCTTGCTCTCTCTCTCTCTCCCCACGTAACAGGAAGGCAGTCATTCCCACAGGCCATGAAGAGGGTCACACCAGGAACCAGTCAGGTGGCACCTCAGTCTTAGACTTTCAGCCTGCAGCACTGTGAAAGTAAGTTTCTGCTGGTGAGACTCCCCACCCTCCCCCACCCCCGTCTGGTATTTTCTCATTGCAGCAGATGAGAAAGACAACGACAGCCATGTACCATGGCGAACATCACAGCTCATGATGTTGTTTGTAATCAAAACAAAGTCTGTCTTCACAGGCACTGCGTCTGGCTCTTTGGAAAAAGGAGCAGATGAAATGGACATAGTTCAGCCGCTGTCCTCTTGGCATTTACTGTCTAGGACTGACCGTAGGGATCTGACCTTGCCTCCCCACCTGTGCAACGGCAGACACACTGTACCCATATTAGCTCCCAGAAACATCAGCAGACAGATTCTCTTTTTGCATTCTTCACCTTCCACTGCTTTTCTATATAGACTCCTCCTCACCACAGAGTATGTAATAAGTGAAACAGTGCAACACAAATATGAAGAGAATTAGTTTGTAGAGCTAATGGAAGCATAGGGGTCTTGATATTAGTGTACATGGTAGACACCGTGGTTAAGAATGTGGGTTCCAGACCATGCCACATGGGTTCATGTCCTGGTTCTGCTATTTACAAGATATGCAACTTTGACAATTTTCTTAACCTGTCTGTGCTTTTGCTTCCTTGTTTGGAAAATGAGGACAATGATAGTACTTCCCTCCTGAGGTGGTTGTGATCTTTGGATGAGGTAAGATATATGAAGTGCAGGGCCTGGAACATAGTAAGTACATAATAAATGTTATCCTTTATTACTTCCTTATATTTTATCTATATTTTATCATGGCACTGAAAGGGAAAATAATTGCACTGGAGAAGCTTGCTGCCACTCTGAGATATAGGCCACTCATAATTAGCTCTTGAATCTATTGTACCAACATTTGGAGGGCCCACTCAGCACAGATGGGCTTCACTTGACTTATATATAGCAGTGCTGCGAAAAAGGGCAAGAAGGATATTTGCTGGTGGTAATGATGTTAATTAAAATTGTAGGTAATGTGCTAACCAGTTGCAGTGTTGTTAGAGCTGCCCAGATAGGGGGGAAAAGGCAGTGAGAAAGGTTTATCCTCTGAGGTAGACGGGAAAGAAATACTTTAAAAAGAAAATTCAGTGTAAGCCTTGGCAGGGGCAATTTATAATTCTCCAAATTTGCACTTCCCCTCCCCACCCAGACTCCCAACATCACCTACTTCGCTAATAACTTATGACACATTTTTCACTACAATAAAAAGATAACAGGAATGAGAAAATATAACAACTATGAGTCCAGCCTTTATGTCTGAAAAACATAGGTTCAAGTCATGCCTATGGAACTTAACATGTTTTAACTTTGGGCAACTTCATCTGACATTTACTAGCTTGTGGCCAAAGGTCTGACTTTGGCTAGTTTTGTAAAATAAAGACTGGCTGGCCTCAGTCCTCTGTTCCTGGGAGGGAGGTAGCCTCTAAATCCTTGGAGTTCACTGAGCAACAGAAATGTCTGTTATTCATGGTGGACCCTGGTAGCTTATGTGCAGGAAGTCACTGAGGAGGGGGCTGGGTCAGCTGGAGAGTTGGGCTATGTGATTTGAGAGCTGGGGTTTTGAGCCACATGATAGCAGCCTAACCTCAGGGGAAGGGCAGGGGCTGAAGAAACAGAGCAATCACATTCAATAATTCAATCAATCATACTTACGTAATGAAACCCCAAAACTCTGGACAACAAAGCTCAGGTGAGCTTCCCTGGTTGATAAAACTCTGTGGTATATTGTTCACATTGGTGTGCTAGGAAGGTGATGTGTACTGATTCCTTGGGAAGATGACATTAGAAGCTTTGTGTTCAGGGCTTCCCAGACCTCACTGTAAGCATCTCTTCTCTTGAATGGTCCTATATTGAATCCTTTTCCCTATAACAAAAAGTCTCATGGGTCATTCTAGTGAATCATTGGACATCAGTGACTGGGAACCCTCAAATTTGTAGCCTGTTGGTCAGAAGTGAGGTTGGCCCTGAGAACCTCAAGCTGGTGACTCGGGTCTGAAGGCAGGGCTGGCCTGTGGAAGACTGTGACCCTAACCTGGGAAGTGTTTATTGTCAGAAGTCATTTCAGCTAGTTACACCTTCACTCTAGAATTCTGAAGGCAGGTTTAAAAAATCTGATAAACAATGTAGTCTAGTAGAGAGGTTCTCAAAGTGTCGGTCTTGGAGGAGCAGCATCAGGATCATCTGAAAACTTGTTAGGAATGCAGATTCCCAGGCACAACCCAGGCCTCCTGCATCAGAAACCCCAGCATGAGGAGTAGCATTGTGTGCTTTCTCAGGCCCTTCACTCCTGATACAGCATAGTCTTAAGTTTGAGAACAACCACTCCAAAAGCTAGAGACAGAATCTAGAGCTAGATAGAGCTTGAGTTTGAATCCCTCCCTCCACCCTCCCCCACTTATTAGCTCTATAACCTTGGGAAGGTTGCTGAACCTCTCTGGACCTTGGTTTCCCACTGGAAATATGGAGATAGTAATAGAATATGCCATGTGGTTGTCATGAAGGATAAATGGGTTAATACATGGAACATGGAGTGTTTTACAACTGTTGATGGTCATTATCTATAAAACAAGGATATTGCTATTTGTTCTGTGGTGAGCAGTAAATGAGATAAAGTATATAATATACTCCTTGGTACATATCACATGATCAGTAATGATTGTTGTTTTATTATCTACAACTTCAACTCATTCTAGGCGTGTAGTAAATATCACAACTATTTTCCTGAGGATCACGTGGAGGTTATAACCAAGCTCCTTGGAATTTCTTTCACAAGGTTGAACTGTCCCATCCCTGACTCCCTGTCAATCCAAGGGGAAGTCTGATATATATATAATATATTAGAGATCAGTGATTTTATTAGAAATGCCTTCCTGGGCAGTGACTTCAAGTTAATACTGAGGAGAAAACTGCAATTTGTTTCTCATCATAACTCAGCCAGTTGCTTAAGATGGAGAACTTCAATAGTTTCTCCTTCAGTCACCAGTTATGATACTCTTTGTGACATTTCATGATTATTTTACAGTAAGAAGTGCTCTGGTTAATTTATTAATTTTTTAAATTAAAAATGATATTTTTATTTCAAGTAGACATGTAGAAATGCAATGTTTCTCAAAGATTATTTTAGAGATCCATCTGCATCAGAATTGCCTGGGGTGTTTATGGTTAAAATTAAACAAAAAAAAATCTGAATGAAAAACACAGGCATGGATTTAGAACTTCCAGAGCTATTGTTTTGAGAAATAAATTTAAAAAAATCAGAAAATAAAGCAAAATAAAAAGCCCTAAAATTCCAGGAGGTGTTTATAAGACTAGGAGGGGTAATGTTGAATACATAAGTTTAGAAGAGGGACTGATGGTACCGAGAAAAGGGAGAAGTGGGTTGAAAATACAAAGATTCTCAGGAACCTGCCAGGAGATGACACAGGCAGCCTTTTGTTAACTAAATAGCAGAACCAAGCTCTTTAAGACTGAGACATGATGAGTTTTGTCTGTCCTTCTGTAGCACAGACCTCTATAACCCTCTGATTATATCTGTGCGGAGCAGGGCCCATCAGGGTCAGGGCTCACCATTCCTGAGGGGAAAATTATTTTTTTAATGACACATTCTGAGTGCAACCACATGCCATGTGCCCTGACTGCCATTCCCCCCCGCCCTCCTCAGTCACTTTATAAATAGAGTGCAAAGGGATTTCCTTGTTTCTACAGGTCTATTAAGGCCAGGCACACCTTTGCAATTCAGGTTAACAGTGGCTTTTCCTCCCCTCAATGCATGAAAAGCAAAGATAATCTGCTTGCTATTCTTGTGGGTCTGCTAATGAGACTTTTTTTTTTTCTTGGACAGGTGCAATGAACAGAATAGAGAGAGACACAGCATAATGAAAGACTTACCTATGCTGGGCGCCTGGGTGGCTCAGTTGGTTAAGCGACTGCCTTCGGCTCAGGTCATGATCCTGGAGTCCCTGGATCGAGTCCCGCGTTGGGCTCCCTGCTCGGCAGGGAGCCTGCTTCTGCCTCTGACCCTCCCCACTCTCATGTGCTCTCTCTCTCTCATTCTCTCTGTCTCAAATAAATAAATTAAAAAAAATCTTAAAAAAAAAAAGACTTACCTATGCTAAAGAGACTTAGTGATTTCTAAACAATTTTATAGCTAAAAATAGAGAAACCAGATGATTTGATCTTCAGATAATTTGGCAAACTGTTGTTAGAGTTCTGCTACTGTTTTTTTTTGTTTGTTTTTGTTTTTACTAGTTCTGATAGAATGAGACTTGTCAGTGCTTATCTCATTCCTTTCTCTGCCATTCCTCTGGAGGAGGTATCAGTGAGCTATAAAATGGAAATAGATACAGAAGGAGGAGCTGTCTAAATAATGTCTAAGAGGAATGATTGATCATTGAGTAAATAGAAACTATTTCTGGGATACCTTACCAACAGAAAACACAGAGTAAAGGCACAACAGTGTGGGTCCATGGTGTGTGCGTGTATGCGTGTGTGTGTGTGTGTGTGTGTGTGTGTGTGTGTAGCAGGGAGAGGTGGAGGAGAATGGTAGCATCACTACATAAGCAAGTTGGCCAATTAGGTAATCTGAACTATTCCTGCTGCCAAGACACCTAGAAATGCTGGATGTGATGCAGCAAATATACTTTTATTTTATTTTTTTAAAGATCTATTTATTGGGGCATCTGGGTGGCTCAGTTGTTAAGCGTCTGCCTTTGGCTCAGGTCATGATCCCAGGATCCTGGGATCGAGCCCCACATCGGGCTCCCTGTTCTGCGGGAGCCTGCTTCTCCTTCTCCCTCTCCACCTGCTTGTGTTCCCTCTCTCACTGTGTCTCTCTCTGCCAAATAAATAAATAAAATCTTAAAAAAAAAAGATTTATATTTATTTTAGAGAGGGATGTGGGAGGGGCAGAGAGACGGAGACAGAGTCCTAAGCAGGCTCCGCACTGACCATGGAGCCCAACATGGGCTGGATCTGACTACCTGAGCTGAAATCAAGAGTCAGATGCTTAACCAACTGAGCCACCCCGGCACCCCCAGCAAATACACTTTTAAAGGCAGAGGTGAACTTGTAAGAAAGTAAGAGAAATTCCCAAGGACCCAAAGCAAGGAGAAAATGACAAACAATGGTCAGCAGGTACCCAGCACAGCTGCCGTGGAAATTTCGTCATTTCCATAACCAGGAAGCATATACTTAATGGCCATTAAAAGAAAATTATGTGCACAATCAAGATGGGGGACTGGAACTGAGAACCTCGCATTAAACTTTGGCCTTCAAATGGAAGTCTTTTTTTTTATTTTTAAAATTTATTTATTTATTTATTTATTTATTTAGAGGGGGAGTGTGGGGGTGGACAGGGGAGGACAGAGGGAGAGAATCTCAAACAGTCTCCCCGATAAGCATAGAGCCCAGTGCTGGGGCTCCATCCCATGACCCTGAGATCATGACCTGAGACACCAAGAGTCAGAGGCTTAACCAATTGAGCTACCCAAGCACTCCTGGAAAGTACATCATTTAAATCCCCAAATACCCACTTTAGATCTTTTTTTTTTTTCCCTCTCTCAATTCTCAGCTGCCTTGTGTTCCCTATTTCACTGGCTCTAGCCTTTGCTTCCTCCAACTTGTTCTCTAATTCCCATGCTTTTCTCTGTCCCTTTACTTGAATACAGGACTTTCACTTTCTGTGGGATTATTTACTGTTCAACAACATAACCCTTCTTAAAAGTCAGCAGGGATTATAAATAACAATTTTCCTGAAATTATTAATTTTTTTCAATTATTTATAAGTTTTCCACCATTATTTGAATATTACTCTGCTTCTTATGCTCTGTTTTCTTTCTAAGTAATTGTTGAAGGGGATGCGGTTAGGGGGATGGGCTAAATGGGTGATGGACATTAAGGAGGGCACTTGTGATGAGCACTGGGTGTTATATGTAAGTGATAAATCCCTAAATTCTACTTCTTTTTTTTTTTCTTGGTTTTACTTTTGTATTTTCTTTTTTCTTTTTCTTTTTTTTATTCTTATGTTAATCCCCATACATTACATCATTAGTTTTTGATGTAGTGTTCCATGATTCATTGTTTGTGCATAACACCCAGTGCTCCATGCAGAATGTGTCCTCCTCAATACCCATCACCAGGCTAACCCATCCTCCCACCCCCCTCCCCTCTACAATGCTCAGTTTGTTTTTCAGAGTCCATCGTCTCTCATGGTTCGTCTACGCCTCCGATTTCCCCCACTTCATTCTTCCCCTCCTGCTACCTTCTTCTTCTTCTTTTTTTTTTTCTTAACATATATTGCATTATTTGTTTCAGAGGTACAGATCTGAGATTCAACAGTCTTGTACAATTCACAGCACTTACCAGAGCACATACCCTCCCCAGAGTCTATTACCCAGTCACCCCCTCCCTCCTACCCCACCCCCCACTCCAGCAACCCTCAGTTTGTTTCCTGCAATTAAGAATTCCTCATATCAGTGAGGTCATATGATACATGTCTTTCTCTGTTTGACTTATTTTGCTCAACATAATACCCTCCAGTTCCATCCACGCCATTGCAAATGGCAAGATCTCATTCCTTTTGATGGCTGCATAATATTCCATTGTATATACATACCACTTCTTCTTTATCCATTCATCTGTCGATGGATATCTTGGCTCTTTCCACAGTTGGCTATTGTGGACATTGCTGCTATAAACATCGGGGTGCACGTACCCTTTTGGATCCCTACTTTTGTATGTTTGGGGTAAATACCCAGTAGTGCAATTGCTGGATCATATGGTAGCTCTATTTTCAACTTTTTGAGGAACCTCCATACTGTTTTACAGAGTGGCTGCACCACCTTGCATTCCCACCAACAGTGTAGGAGGGTTCTCCTTTCTCCGCATCCCCACCAACATCTGTCGTTTCCTGACTTGTTAACTTGAGCCATTCTGACTGGTGTGAGGTGGTATCTCATTGAGGTTTTGATTTGGATTTCCCTGATGCCGAGCGATATTGAGCACTTTTTCATGTGTGTGTTGGCCATTTGGATGTCTTCTTTGGAAAAATGTCTGTTCATGTCTTCTGCCCATTTCTTGATTGGATTCTTTGTTCTTTGGGTGTTGAGTTTGATGAGTTCTTTATAGATTTTGGATACTAGCCCTTTATCTGATATGTCATTTGCAAATATCTTCTCCCATTCTGTAGGTTGCCTTTTGGTTTTGTTGACTGTTTCCTTTGCTTTGCAAAAAGCTTTTTATCTTGATGAAGTCCCAATAGTTCATTTTTGCCCTTGCTTCCCTTGCCTTTGGTGATGTTTCTAGGAAGAAGTTGCTGTGGCTGAGGTCGGAGAGGTTGCTGCCTGTGTTCTCCTTTAGGATTTGGATGGACTCCTGTCTCACATTGAGGTCTTTCAACCATTTGGAGTCTATTTTTGTGTGTGGTGTAAGGAAATGGTCCAGTTTCATTCTTCTGCATGTGGCTGTCCAATTTTCCCAACACCATTTGTTGAAGAGACTGTCTTTTTCCCATTGGACCTTCTTTCCTGCTTTGTCAAAGATTAGTTGACCATAGAGTTGAGGGTCTACTTCTGGGCTCTCTATTCTGTTCCATTGATCTATGTGTCTGTTTATGTGCCAGTACCATACTGTCTTGATGATGACAGCTTTGTAATAGAGCTGGAAGTCCGGAATTGTGATGCCAACAGCTTTGCTTTTCTTTTTCAACATTCCTCTGGCTATGTGGGGTCTTTTCTGGTTCCATACAAATTTTAGGATTATTTGTCCCATTTCTTTGAAAAAAGTGGATGGTATTTTGATGGGGATTGCACTGAATGTATAGATTGCTCTAGGTAGCATTGACATCTTCACAATATTTGTTCTTCCAATCCATGAGCATGGAACGTTTTTCCATTTCTTTGTGTCTTCCTCCATTTCTTTCATGAGTATTTTATAGTTTTCTGAGTACAGATCCTTTGTCTCTTTGGTTAGATTTATTCCTAGGTATCTTATGGTTTTGAGTGCAATTGTAAATGGGATCGACTCCTTAATTTCTCTTTCTTCTGTCTTGTTGTTGGTGTATAGGAATGCCACTGACCTCTGTGCATTGATTTTATATCCTGCCACTTGACTGAATTCCTGTCTGAGTTCTAGCAGTTTTGGGGTGGAGTCTTTTGGGTTTTCCACATAAAGTATCATATCATTTGCAAAGAATGAGAGTTTGACTTCTTTGCCGATTTGGATGCCTTTTATTTCCTTTGTTGTCTGATTACTGTGGCTAGGACTTCCAATACTATATTGAATAGCAGTGGTGATAGTGGACATCCCTGCCGTGTTCCTGACCTTAGGGTGAATGCTCTCAGTTTTTCCCCATTGAGAATGATATTTGCTGTAGGTTTTTTATAGATAGCTTTTATGATATTGAGGTATGTACCCTCTATCCCTATACTCTGAAGAGTTTTGATCAAGAAAGGATGCTGTACTTTGTCAAAAGCTTTTTCTGCATCTATTGAGAGAATCATATGATTCTTGTTCTTTCTTTTGTTAATGTATTGTATCACATTGATTGATTTGCAGATGTTGAACCAAACTTGCAGCCCAGGGATAAATTCCACTTGGTCGTGGTGAATAATCCTTTTAATGTACTGTTGGATCCTATTGGCCAGTATTTTGATGAGAATTTTTGCATCCATGTTCATCAGGGATATTGGTCTGTAATTCTCCTTTTTAATGGGGTCTTTGTCTGGTTTGGGGATCAAGGTAATGGTGGCCTCATAAAACGAGTTTGGAAGTTTTCCTTCCATTTCTATGTTTTGGAAGAGTTTCAGAGGAATAGGTATTAATTCTTCTTTAAATGTTTGGTAGAATTCCCCTGGGAAGCCATCTGGCTGTGGGCTTTTGTTTTTTGGGAGATTTTTGATGACTGCTTCAATTTCCTTAGTGGTTATAGGTCTGTTCAGGTTTTCTATTTCTTCCTGGTTCAGTTTTGGTAGATGATACATCTCTAGGAATGAATCCATTTCTTCCAGGTTATCTAATTTGCTGGCATAGAGTTGCTCATAATATGTTCTTATAATTGTTTGTATTTCTTTGGTGTTGGTTGTGATCTCTCCTCTTTCATTCATGATTTTGTGGATTTGGGTCATTTCTCTTTTCTTTTTGATAAGTCTGGCCAAGGGTTTATCAATCTTGTTAATTCCTTCAAAGAACCAGCTCCTAGATTCGTTGATCTGTTCTACTGTTCTTTTGGTTTCTATTTCATTGATTTCTGCTCTGATCTTTATTATTTCTCTTCTCCTGCTGGGTTTAGGCTTTATTTGCTGTTTTTTCTCCAGCTCCTTTAGGTGTAGGGTTAGGTTGTGTATTTGAGACCTTTCTTGTTTCTTGAGAAAGGCTTGTATTGCTATATACTTTCCTCTTAGGACTGCCTTTGCTGCATCCCAAAGATTTGGAACAGTTGTGTTTTCATTATCATTGTTTTCCATGAATTTTTTAAGTTCTTCTTTAATTTCCTGGTTGACCCATTCATTCTTCAGTAGGATGCTCTTTAGCCTCCATGTATTTGAGTTCTTTCCAACTTTCCTCTTGTGATTGACTTCTAGTTTCAAAGCATTGTGGTCTGAAAATAGGCAGGGAATGATCCCAATCTTTTGGTACCGGTTGAGACCTGATTTATGACCTAGGATGTGATCAATTCTGGAGAATGTTCCATGGGCACTAGAGAAGAATGTGTATTCCGTTGCTGTGGGATGGAATGTTCTGAATATATCTGTGAAGTCCATTTGGTCCAGTGTGTCATTTAAAGTCTTTATTTCCTTGTTGATCTTTTGCTTAGATGATCTGTCCATTTCAGTGAGGGGGGTGT